TTTTAATGTAACTTTTTTTTCTAGACAAAACAAAAGTATTGTTACGCCTCCAGTCGTTAATTGATTTTCCGTAACTTCGTTCCGACGAAACTTTAGCGACACAAGTCCTTACTTAATAAGGACTGCAGTTCAATTACTCACTACCTACATACATTGATTCTGTCACGTTGTGACCATCTTATATATACCAGACTACCCTATATCTAGTAATCTCCCGACAATTCCCGAACGTTCGAGAGAAGGAGTGGTGTGATATAGTCATGTGACCTCGCTGACACAACAGTATTTATTTAAATTGCTTTATTCAACAGATTATTTACTTCAGGTAAAATCAAAGGAATTAGCATTGTAACTCCAACAATGCTTTTCATTCTATACAAGTACATCATTAATCTTGGGTTCCTAATCACTCCAAACATAGAAGCACTTAATCACTCCAACTATAAAATCACCTAATCACTCCAAACATAGAACCACTTAATCATTCCAACTATAAAATCACCTAATCACTCCAAACATAGAACCACTTAATCATTCCAACTATAAAATCACCTAATCACTCTAAACATAGAACCACTTAATCACTCCAACTATAAAATCACCTAATCACTCCAAGCATGAAACCACTTAATCACTCCAATCATAAAGCCACTTAATCACTTCAATCATAAAGCCACTTAATCACTCCAAACATAGAATCACTTAATCACTCCAACCTAACCTAACCTAACCATTCAATTACTCCAAATATAGACCCACTTTATCACTCCAAGTATTATACCATTTAATCACTCCAAACATAGAGCCACTTAATCACTCCAAGCATTAAGCCACATAATCACTTCAAACATAGGTAAAAAAGAAATACGTTATGATTGTTTCTGGATTACAGTATGGAGTGTGGGATTTATTTTTATTTCCAAGTAAACACTGCTTTTCCCATGGTGACAGTACTTATTTTTGTTTGTTTTAGGATTACGTTGTGGAGTGTGGGATTTGCTATTCTTTCCGACTGAATGATGCCTTGCCAGACAAGTCCTGTAATAACTCCCATTGTAGTCAGCTTTTTCATGTAGAATGTTTAATTGAAGTAAGTACCCTTGTTACATCAGAGTGTAATTATAAAGTGACAATAATGTAATAACATTACTTTCTTTACAAATTCTTATAACAGTAATCCACCTTGGATAACCCTACGTTTCTAGAATTGCCTTCAGTGACAGCAACATCATTAATTTTTACTGTGGCAGTGAAAAATCCCATATTATTATGTAAATCATAATTCAAATACCTTAATTTTTCACAGTTACTCTGATAAACATCTTGATGAAAAATAATTTATACAGGTTTCACTGTTTTGGAATCCTGTAATTTTTTTTATAGATATTTCTAAATTTTGTGAAATACTTGTCATTTATTACTGGCTTTTCTAACATTGCTATTTATGATTTTTGTTGTACTAATATTGTTGAACTGGATCTCTGCTTGTCTCTTAACATTATTGTACTCAACCTTTGCTTGTCTCTAACATTGTTCTGCTCGACCTCTGCTTGTTTCTAAATTTGGTGTACTCGATCTCTGCCTGTCTCTAACATTGGTCTACTCAGCCTCTGCTTGTTTCTAACATTGTTGTACTCAACCTCTACTTGTTTCTAACTTTGGTGTACTTGACATCTGCTTGTCTCTAACATTGGTCTACTCAACCTCTACTTGTTTCTAACTTTGGTGTACTTGACATCTGCTTGTCTCTAACATTGGTCTACTCAGCCTCTGCTTGTTTCTAACATTGGTCTACTCGACCTCTGCTTGTTTCTAACTTTGGTGTACTCGATCTCTGCCTGTTTTCAACATTGCTGTACTTGATCTTTGCTTGTTTCTAACATTGTTGTACTCAACCTCTGCTTGTTTCTAACATTGTTGTACTCAACCTCTGCTTGTTTCTAACTTTGGTGTACTCGACATCTGCTTGTCTCTAACATTGGTCTACTCAGCCTCTGCTTGTTTCTAACATTGTTGTACTTGACCTCTACTTTTTTTTTGTAACATTGTTGTTTTCATATCATATGATTTTTTCTAACATTATTTTATTGTTGTACTGGACCTCTAGTTTGTTAAAAACATATTTTATGGTTTTGTTTAGTGGCTGAGGTCTGTCTCAACAACAACACAAAGTTTCAGCATTTTGTTTGGAGAATGTCCATATTGTGACATGGTGAGTCATTGTTGTTACTGGTGTTCTAGTTGAGTAAAATGTGTTTTTTATAAAATGGTGATTCCTATACATTGTTACATGGTAAATCTTGATTATAGCTGGTACCATATAAATGAAAACTTTAGGTGTTTATCATTTTTCTTTCAGCGTTATATGTCTATATTCTAAGTTGTTGTTATAATTCACTATACATCTTAAAATATAAACTGCCTTGTGCTACGTTTGATAGACTGACACTATTCTTTTCAAGTATACAGTTTTATATTTATGTTGTCTTATACATTGTCTGTATTTATATTTACAAGTTATTTTACTGTAGCCTATCATGTGCAAGATGTCTTAGGTCATCTGACGAAACATTGGTATGGCCCTGGATTTTGTGATTCTTCTCCTGCTCGAAATTCTGTTTGCCATCACATAGTAGTTAAAATGATCTTGTTATCAGAGCTGGTGATAAAAGAGCTATTAACACATTGTGCTGTGATCAAATTATGGTAATTTAACATGTTTGTTAAAGAATAGTTTTCTTAACACACTGGGGAATTAAAGAATTGTTAACGTTTTTGGTCATAATTTTTATTAATTTTCTGAGAAAAGCATTTTAGGCCAGGTACGAAAACTTTCCAGTTTCTTGTAAGATAATTTCAGAAACCTAAAATTGGGAAGAGTTTTATTATTATTGTATAAATGTTTTGAAGAACTGAACTGTTATTCAGTCACCGAAGTGATGCATATGTACATATATTTATATATCGATGCCATTTACAATGTCATCCTTGCCACTAAAGACAGCGGACAAAAATTATATTCAATTAAGACGAGTATAGGTAGTGCTTTTTTGATCCAACACGTGAAAATAGATACAAATTTTTAAAATTTGATAATAAAAATATCTGATGTTTAGAAGGAGAGGAATGTTTAAAACTATCTGCATGAGGCAGAAATGAAGATAAAGTCAAATGTTACAGATGATTACATACACATTTTTTATATACAACATTTAACACTTGAGATTTCTGTTGCTAAACATATCAATTATGGTTGTCTTGTGTTGCCATATTTGGAGATTTAGATGTTTGAAAGTTTATTCTACAAAATTGGAATACTGTAGAAAAAATATTGATAGTTATGTAATTGATAGTTTTGAAAAATAAATTATGGATGGTTCCAGTATATTTTTTGTATTGTTTTTTCACAAGCTCTTCTTATAAATTGTAATTAAAAATCATTAACGTTTCACATTTAGTTATCATTTACTCATTATGCTTTTACAGAATCACAAAACAAATGCTTCAGTTTCTAGTATATTAAAACGGAAGTAGATGGCACCAACAATAGTATTCCTAGAAACAGCAAAATATTGTGATTTTAAAGTATATATAATTTAAGTGAGAATCAGGGAATATGTTCATATATGTATAACTTTAAACATCAACAGTTTTCACAATGAGCCATTGGATTCAATGGAAATGTTCTACATGGTTTGATTGTACCATATTACCAATGTTCGGAGACGTACATTAATCATCCAACCAACTATAGGGAATGTACGTAATTACATGCTTACCAGAGTTATAGAAAATTCTGTGTTTGATTTCCATAGTGAAAATACTAAATAATATGTAGAGTGATTAATTATACATCTTGTAAGACATTAATTTTAGGCCCATTATATTTTTTACACTACACTCTTTATTCAGTCTCTTGGGGATTTTAATATATGGTTTAAATAGCCTTCGAATACTGCTGTGTTTGTGTCCCAACCTACCTGATGAGATCTTCATTGAACTAAATGCATTATTGGAAGACAAAGCGTAGTTGAAATAATATTACACAATCTTCTTTTAAAAAAATCCCTAAGGGAATGATTAAAGAATGGAATGTTAAAAATATAATAGGCCTAATACTAATGTCTTATGATAAATACAACTAATTATAATCGTTCTTTGCCAGTTTGGAATAGGCCTTCACACCATAAAACTATGTAGAGTACACTTAAAAATAAAATGGATAAAATAGTGGTTCTTTTTAAATCTATTTAACTAATGCAATTCAGTAAAACTTTTCAGGACTGTTACTTTCTGGCTATTTCCATTAAGAGTACCTTTCAGGACTTACTTTCTGTCTTCTTTCAGTAAAATCCTTGTCAGCACCAACATTTTCTAACTCCTCCCCGTATACACTGATGACATGTCACCTGAAAACCATGTTCTTTTGAACCAATCTGCAGCTGTAGATGATTTTGTTTTTCACTACCATAGTTGGCCTGCGAACATCTGAAAGTTTGATTGGATAAATAATTAAGTGGCTTTGAATCAGTTCTTTGTGTTTCATGTTTAGGTCTTCTTGTAGGTGTATTTATTTGTTATCCATACAATATTTCTTGTTTGAGGATCTTTATTTGTGATTTTTCATATTTACAGAGTAGTTAATGGACTTAATTTCTGTGAAGTTACGAATTACATGAATATTTCCACCTTATCTTTGTGTTTCGTGATTTCTACTTATTGTTACGTCTCCGTTTGTTAATTGATTTTCCGTAACTTCGTTCCGACGAAACTTAAGCGACACAAGTTCCTTC